ACAACACAAAGAAAAATAAAGATTACGAAACAAGAACCCTACAAACATCCGGGTTGAACTTAGGTGCTTAAGAAGGGTACATAGATCTTGCTGTGTTAAAGAAGGGTACATATATCTTGCTCTACATGTGGCGTCTGTCGGATTTCTCATGACAAGTAAGCTCTGAAATATCGCACCAAATTGGAGACCTATACTCCATATTCAGGCACTACAGGAATGTTGGTACAAAGAAATGAAAAGTTCATATTTGGAATCTTGAATCATCTATGTTGTCGTAAGGTTTATTTCTCAACCAACCTTCACTGCCAATTTGTAGATGTAGTTCAATATATTAACAAGATTAAATGTACCAGTTGTATCTTTTATTATAATTTCGATGGAATAGATACGTTCAAGATAATCAGGAAATATTGAATTATTTAGTGAGAGTAAATCACCTATTTAGCGGCACGTGTAGTCAAAAGATAATGCCGGCTTATTTTTATTCTTCCTAAGAAGTTCGCCTGTATGAATATTTGCCCCAAAGGACTAGGTCGGTAATAAGAGGAGTAAATTTTGATTAGCGATTGCTTGTTGAAAACCACGTCCTTTAAATGAAAAATATGTTGTAAATAAAAACATCAAGAATTTAAGATATCATTTTTAGAATTTTTGTTTGTTAAACATGTGCAAAACTGTGTTTGAGTTGTTATCTCGGGTAAATCCACTATAAAGCATAGCTAAGTGGCATTTGATATCAAACACATTCATTACCATTCATTCTCAGTCACGTCTCAGTCATTACAACTGAACGGACGTGCTGGGTCAGCTCTCCTTTACCCGCTATCTTCGATGAGGGTTTACAGTTAGATGGATCAACGACTTACTACTTTCGATGACAGAATCCAATCCAACGCTGTACAGACTACGTTAGGCTATAATCCGCGTAGGGGCAAATTCCCGCGTCAACATACACTCCAAAACCCATTATGGATGGGGGAGTGGTATGCCGAGTGACGTCCGAGGGCTGTATCCCAGGTGTTAGATGATGGACCGCCATTTCACTGTCTCACGACTTTGGTCCTGATAATGCTTCCTGTCATCGTTAATACTACGTCCGAGACTCATCTACCAGTACTCCATCATCGAGGTTAGAGGGCTGCCAAGCTGACCAATCTGGCCCTGAAAGCAGCCGTTGTGAAGACATAACATCAAAATAGTCAACAAAAGAAAAACCAAAACAACTCACAAAACCGAGATGGCGGCCTACCAAAATGGCGTCCTCCACCTGTTCCTGACCAATGGCACAAAATTATTTAAACGCTCACCAAACGCCTTCGGGCACCGAGCCGACCGTGCGAGGGATGTATATCCAGTCAAGGTCGTTAAAAACTTCCATTTGTTGTTGATATCAAACACATTTCATACTTTCGTGCTTTTCAGACGAACATCATTGCGATATTGTGATTTTGTTCTTGTGTCAAATGCATATATATAAATATTCATTTTACATCATGATCATATTTACTGCTGAACGTTACCAGTGTTATGAACACAGTGGTTATGAAAAAGAAAACATGCTTAACATCATATAACGTTATGTTATACCTTATCATTCAAAGCAAAATGACTTCGAAATATTCTTGATCAAATTTACCACTTCAACGTGTGAACTTAAATTGAACCTGACAGTCTCTCCATTTGACCTTAACACCTGCAATAATGCGTTGCCTATAAGATGAACTAAAAAAAATAACAATTGTTTATTGTTTGATAACACACAATGTATCAAGGCAATAACCTATGTTTGTTTGTAAATCACGCAATTAAATCTCAAAGTATAATTATATTCAAAGTGGGTTTGTCTTTAGGTATAACATATAGGATACTATACAATCTTAACCTTTAACATTTGTCGTTGTGTTTTTATTTTATTTTAAGTTTTAAGATTATTTGGATATAAAGTAGCTGTAATATATTGTTATTCGATGTCTCTAAATAAATCATTTTAAATTATTTAAATATAATGTATTATATTAAAACAATTGTGGAATTGTGTTAGTATTATTTATAAAAAAAAGTTATTTCACCATATTCAAGTACACTACTATACTAATATAAACAATTTGTATATACCTAATTTGTTATAAATCCATACAAATGTCTTGGATTCTGATCAAACATCTTAAATTTTAGGTATAGTCAGAAAAAAAGTGGCAATCACAATAATAATAAGGTGAAGAAAAACATATATATTCCTTAAAAGATGGGTTGAACTCAAAGATAATGTTACATGTAAAAAACACGAAATGCCTCATAGTAAATTTCTTTTGGTTGAATGCATTAGATAAATAATATTTTTTTTTCGTAATAAAAAAAGATTTTTTTTTATGATGGTAAATGGTAATAAAATTTGTGGCGGAGTTCATGTAATATAAGGAGATGTGGTTTGGTTGCTTATGGGACAACTATCCATCAAAGATCAAATGACGTTGCTTTAAGCAATGTTATGTCACCGTATTGCAGCAATGGAAAAATCCTTTACCGTAAAGTCTGCAATCAAAAGGTCCGACATGACAAAATATAACAATGCATCCGAAAAAACCAACGGCCTTATTTATTATAAAACATTAAACAAAAAACACAATATGACAGACAGCAACAAACGACAACCACTGAATTACAGGTTCCTGTTCTCCTTAGTTTAATCAGCGCCTCAACATTTGTACAAATGTTGTAATTTCAAATATATTGGCCTCGAGCATCTCTGAAGAGTCATTAATTGTCAAAATGCGCATCTAGTGCAATACAATAGGTATCGTTTATGTTATTACTACCACTAGGTCGTGACCTCTGCTTGTGGACTATTAGTCCGGAGTGTATCACTAGTCCAGTACCCAGTTGTATTTTGGCACTGGTATAAACACGCACATACAGTGTTATTTAAATTAGCTATATTAAAATTTGGAAATAATTTAAAAATAATGTATCTCCCTTATGGATAGCTCAGATTCCTTGTACGGGTTTTACTTTACTTTCAGTCCTTTTAATTTTTATCAGCTCTTCAACTTTTGTACAACGTTTTGAACTTTCAAAAAGTTTGTTCTCGGGCATCACTGAAAAGATATTAAGTGTCAAAATGCACGTCTGTTGCCATAAAATTAGTATCGTTAATTTTGTTAATACATAAAGACTTTCTTCAGAATTTTGGTTTTGAATGAAAATGTCCTTCCTATCTATTTTTTCAATATCTTATTAAAATTGCTAACTTTTTTGAAGCATTTGTAGGCATTTATAATTTAGTCACATGTTCGAAAATACGTAAACATTTTGTTATAAATCTGAAAGAACTTATATGAATCTATAATAGAGTAAATTTTTATTAAAGATTGAAAGACAATTGGAAAATATGCCTTGTGTGAAATAAATATCGGGGAATTTGGCCCTATCGATTTTAAGTATAACTAAACCATGTTGTGTTTAGACTCATTAGCAGCCTTAGAAAACATAACCTTGTGTACAGCCAAAACAAATGCGTCGACTGGTCTCGATTGGATGTAATACATAAGTGTTACTTCTTTTTATGGATGTTTTCCCTAAATTTTTAATGTATATTGTGTATTATGGTCATTATGCCAAAAATCATTTCTGGTTTATATGACAATAAAGTATTCATTTTGAGTAAGTAATCGTGATAGCAAAACATGTTTGGTTGTATATTAAATCATTCAAAACAAAACATTGTTTGCTCTGATAGGGACAATATTCAAGGGTCTTATACATTGTTACATCGAGAACCTTTACGAAGGAATCAGTTTATTCATAGGACGAACACGTTTATATGGATCGTATCTTAATCTACCACCTTTATGAATAACCTCGCCGTGAAAATTTGCATGAAATATCTAGTTTGTACTAACTTTAAAAAAGGAATCTTTGCTGGTAACTATTTTAATTGATTTGTGGCGACAAAATTCCTTACTTTATATTTGTACATATATTACGGTCATTTCTGACAAGGACAGGGCATTGCGAACGAGTTGGAAAATACATACATAGTAAGAAGGGGCGAAGGAATCATCAACAAAGAGGTAGATAAAGATAGGGAACGAAAAGTCTTCTTTTCTGTTGTTAACTTTAGTATAGAGTTTCGCTACTGAAACTGAAATATCCAAATAAAAAAGAGACACTTACTGATGTTCATATTAATATTTTTAGTTAGTTAACTGGGGTAGATTTTGGAAGTATAGTCACAGAAAGCAAACATAGTATCAATGTAACGGTAAGAGTTAGTAATGTAACGGTAAGATTTAGGAAATTTTCTATTAAAAGGAATTAAAGCAGATTAACTGAGTTTACCCATAAAGTATTATAACAATTCTCCTTTTAGTCAGGAATATGGCAGTTGTTATTAAACAGTTCGTTTCTATTAATGTTGGCGTTTGTGTTTGTTGCAGTTCAGTGTTTCTGTTGATCCGTTGTTTTCCTCTTATAGTTGATGTGTTTCCCTCGGTTTTGGTTTGTTACCCGGATTTGTTTTCGCTTAATCGATTTATGACTATTGAACAGCGGTATACTTCTGTTGCCTTTATTTATTCATAAAGAAATGTACGTTAAAATTTACCAGATTTGCAATGCAGGCTTCTACTAGAATATGATGCAATTGATAATGGTTCTTTTTATTATCGTTATTCTACAGCAGGTTTTAACGTGTAAATTAGCATATTAAACAAAACTGCTTATTAAAAATTAACAGGAAACTATAAGTTGGTAAACTTAAATGTATTCTAATTACGTAAACGTGAAAAAAGTTTTTAAAAAGTATTTTTAAAAGTTTTTTTAAAAAGTTTTTGTATTTTCGATTCTATTTCAGAAAATTGTGTATATTTTACATGCTTTACTTTTTTAGATTACGAACACCCCCACATCTTTTTTTTTTATCTTGTTAATTTTATTTCCAGCTAGACTGATATTAAATACGAGAATTGAAGTTAAACAGTGTATAATTTCACCAAAATGAGTGAGGAAGTTACATTTTATAATACGTGATACATTGTGAACTAAACGTGTGATATTTAATACAAGTGACTGTTTACGTTTTTGTATTCATACTAACGAATGGTAAGTTTATTTGATGGAAATAAGTTATATGTTTATAGCAAATCTTATTTGTTAAATGTGTGCACATGAATAAAGAAAATTATGGGGTTTTCCATATATCGAATTAACATTAACGAGATCTCAACAACCTAAAATCATAAGTATAAATCAAAATGTACCCACATTGTGTTCTTCAATTTATCGAAAATGAGTTGCACTATCATATAAATTAAAAATTTGTATCTTATATAGCTTTAGAAATTGTTAACTTATTATGAAGAAGATGCATAGGGTTATTTCAAAGATAAACTAATACAACATATATAACTTTTTTAAATTCAGTAATCGAGAAGAAAAAAGGGTAAGTTGAGATCTCAAATGACTAGTTTAATAGATAGCAAAATACAATTGTTTTGCTTATATGCGACAATAGTAGCATTTTGAGAGATGTCCCTTGCCTATCAATCTAAAAGAATGCTTCGTCACAGTCTAGTAATAAATAAGTATTAAGTCATACAAAGACCAATTAGGATAAGTCGTACTCTTTATTTTGAATATAAAATAAGGAGTTGTGGTAATTAGACTTGGTACAGGCATTTTCCGAAGAAAATTGTGGGATAAACCTGGTTTTATAGCTAGATTAACCTCCCACTTGTATGACAGTTGTTTATAACTCCGATATATTGACAAATTGGATGAACAACTTAAACAGACATAATAGGTTAATAGATTAATGTGACAACAGGGTCCACATAACGTGGATTAAAGCAATACACAATTCATCGTATGGCCTTAAACAATGAGAAAACCCCTGCGTATAGTCAGCAATAAAAGGCCCCGATGTCACAATATGTGAAACAATACAAACAAAAATCCATCATTCTAATTTATGACAAAACAACAAACGAAAAACAGATACAACAATCAACGACTATCACTGGGTTACAGACTTATTCCTTTTATTCTTCGATTTATTTAAAATGAGTTGCACTGGTATATAGATCAAAAATGTGTATCTTAAATAGAAATACAATTAATTTAAACATGAAATACATTTATTGGTATAAATAAATAGAATGCACGTTAAAGTGCAATACAAATTACAATTTAAATTCTCTTTTAATTCGAGATTTCTTGAAATTTTGCCACGTGATTTTTTTAATAAATATATTAAATATATTGCTGTGAAAATACAATGCAAAATGCTTTATCGTTGTATCACTTCTTAACTCTTGTAGCGTTTCACATCACATCTAAACTCCTTTACTGTCACCTCTGAATATTTGCAGTATGTAGGCACAAAAATTTTGCAATACATCGCCTCTAAATTCAGGTCTTGTAGTGTATCATCACAACACCTCAAAACTCTTTTTTTTTGGTTTACCTCCATACGTTTGTAGTGTCACCTCTAAACTCTAAAGGCATTTCGTGTTGCACGCTTTTTAAAAGTCTTGTTTATGTTGTTGTGGTTACAGTGCTAGTGTTTAATGTTATATGTTTGTATGGTTGTTGTTGAATATACCTCACAACTTATAAAATTTACTTGTACTCTAAACAATATTTTACTTTAATTTGTACTTAATTCCTACACAACTTGGTTAACCTGGTTGAAACCATAGGACAATTTGCCATATTTGAATTTTCATTCGCTGTAAGAATCAATTTCTTTATGAGAAATTCCATGAGAAATAAAAATTAATTGATATTTATTAATTTATCGCCATTTTCCACTCCCAAACCGGACCCCACAACCTTTGTAAATATTCACACTAAAATTCAGTCGTTTTTAAACGATGTCTGTGAAAATCGTAAAAATCATACAAATGTGATATGCATTGATGTTTTTAATTTGTTTTATTGTGCAAAAAAAGAGATTCATTTAAATAATATTATATAATTATAAATAGTAATTATAAATGTGTTAAGAAATTGTTTTCTTTTGAAAATAATGAAGCATGTCCCAAACTGATAACTTTAATTAAATGATATCTAATTTTAATTTGAAATTTTAAGCTTTTACTTTAATATCAGAAGAATTTGATAAAAAAAATGTGTGCAATTATCAATTCAACGATTTACCTTTTTGTTAAAGTACATTTTACTGCGGGAGCCAACAAGTTTACAAATGCAATTGCTCAGTACAAAATGTGTTATTCCCACGAGGGAAAAGAAGGAAAACAAAGCCGTATTTATGTGAAGAATTCAATTCAAAAAGTTCCTCCTCTATTGCTTTATTGCAAAATTCAATTCTTATCAATTTTAATGTACAGTTTTATATCGATATTGTTACATGTATTGTTTTGTCAGAACTAAATCAACTGGAAGTTAAAAGATAAAGAAGTTACGAAAAATTACCAGACCAATGAATAGGCAATTATATTAATTTTGATAATATATCATCCTCATATAATTCTCCTATGTCCCATAACAACTGTGCATGAGACTAGTTTGATACATCCACTGTTTTAAAGATGAACCAATGAATCAATAATTGTGTAAATAATAGATTGTAAAACTAGAAGATAAGCAGTTTTAAAGTACATTATGTTTATGTTTATTATAGCAAACGATAAACATTATAAAATTAAGTGGAATAAAAAAACAAATTGGATTTGCCAAAAATGAAAATTAGATATTTCATTAGTAATAAAACAATCACAATGAACACAGTTGAACATTGACCTTAGGTTTGATAAAACTGGCATATCCCTTTCTTTAGTGTACATTTGTTAATACCTATGTATATATTCTTCGTTTTGCATCCTCGAACTTTGGCTTTTGGCTATCCTGAGGAAATGAACAGCCTGTAACTCAGTGGTTGTACGATGACATATAGTTGTAAACTTCTACGTCATTTGATCTCTGTCTCATTGGCAATCATACCACATCTTTTGTTATGCACAGAATGGTGAATCGAACGTACCTTTGTTTGGCCTCTTTGTAGCACATTGGTGTCCAAAAAAAGTGTAACATGTATGTAGTGTAATATTGGCTTACATCAAGGAGGTCAAAATGCATAAAAAATAATTAAGAATTTTATTTTTACAATATTGATGGAATTATCTTTCTGCCACTGCTACTGTCAGGATTCTATTATCTAATTGGCCTTTACCACTGCTGGGCAATTGCTTTACTTCAATGTCATATATTTATACAACTCATATCGAATTCCTAATCTTCCATATAAATGTATACCACTGTTCCAAGGAATTGCTTATCTTCAATCTTATATATCTATACAACTGCTGAGAAATTGCTTATCTTTCATGTTATTTATCTATACAATTGGTAGGGAATTCCTTATCTTCCATCTAATGTATCTAAACAACTGCTAGGGAATGCCTCATCTTCCATCTTATATATCTAAACAACTGGTAGGGAATTCCTCATCTTCCCTCTCATATATCTATACAACTGCTAGGGAATTCTTCATCTTCCACCTTATATATCTATACAACTGCCTAGGGACTTCCCTATCTTCCATCAACTGGTAGGGAATTCCTTATCTTCTATTTTATATATCTATACACCTGCCTATGGACTTCCGTGTCAGGGAATTCCTTATCTTACATTTTATATATCTATAGCAGTGCTAGGGAATTCCTTCTCTTTTATTTAATATATATATATCACTGCTTAAACAGAGGCAAAAGATACCAAAGTGTAGGGAATTCCTTATCTTCCACCTTGTATATTTATACAATTGCCGAGGGAATTCCTCATCTTCACCTTATATATCTATACAACTAGTAGGGAATTCCTATCTTCCATATTATATGCTATACCACTGCTAGGGAATTTCTCATCTTCTACCTTATATATCTATACAACTGCTTAGGGACTTCCTTGACTACCATAGTATATATCTATACAACGGTTAGGGAATTCCTTATCTTACATCTTATATATCTATAGCAGTGCTAGGGAATTCCTTATTTTTTATTTCATATATATATTTCCCTAAAGAGAGGTAAAATATACCAATGGGACATCCAAACTCGTAAGTCGACAATAAACTGACAATGCCAGGGCAACAAAACGAAAGGGACAACATAGATAACTAAAGACTGAGCAACACGAACCCCATCAAAAACCGAGCGTGATCTCAGGTACTCCGGCAAGGTAAGCAAATCCTGCTCCACATGTGACATCCGTCGTGTTGCTCATGTAAGTACAAACCCGGTGATAAGTCAAATTCGGTAGGTCACATTCGAGAAAAAAGGACGGTATTGTAGTAACGACAATTGGAACATTATATCCGTCGTCATCTGTGAAACAGATATTCCATAACGGTCAACCAACTCGTGATGGCTAAGGAATTCCTTATCTCTTATGTTATATATCTATACTACTTTTAGTGAATTCCTAATCTTTCATTTTATATATCTACACCACTGCTAAGGAATTACTCATCTTCTATCTTAAATATCTACACCCCTGTTAGGGAATTCCTTATATTCTATCTTATATAGATAATGCTAGGGATTTCGTAATGCTCGAAGGAGATATCATTCAATAACTTTAAAAATTGCATGCCTCTCTCTATTTTATTTTCTTTTTTCGTTTTTTAAACTTCATCGTGTTTCAGGGTTAACATTTCATAAACTTATTTACATATTTCCAATATATCATATCTGTCAGTTTGCATAACTTGTTTTCACTTATGAAACATCAGATTTTGTTTTTTAATCTTTTCGACCTACATATCTTAAGATGTCAGTCTATTAGTACTGGATATACATATAATGGTACATACTTTGTAAAGATCACGTAATTAAATCTAATGATATGTCTTTCAAACTTCTGGTGCCCACATTAGCTGTTTGACTTATGTTTCGTATGCATGGTATAGGTGAATAAATACAAATGTTTGAGAACGCAACACGCCAAAGATACAAAACATCTTTTTTATATGTACCTTATTCAATACATAGGTAAACATACTATAAAATCATATAAGAGCTGATTAATTGTCAATGAAATAATGCTTTTGAAAAAATTATTTTTTTTATGTATAAGAG